GCGTCCGCTTTCGTTCAACTGCTTACCATTGGTGGCGCTACCTATTACATGTTTGTCTGCAACTCTATGGCGGTTCGAACGGAGCTACAGTCAACTTCAGCATTCGTGGTCATATTTCGGCCGATAGAGCCCTCATATTGTGTCATTATATGCACAAATAAAAATGATTCGGATATAAATATACTAAATGCCAATCAGGAATTCTTTGCGATTGAATCAAAGCCAGAAACGCCCAGCTTCCGAGAAGAAAATTTCTCAGGTGGGTTGGCTTTGCCGCTGGGCATGGTGAAAACAAGTAAAAAAAGTTGAGGCCCCTATCCGGCCCACTGAGCACGAAGTTTTATTTGACGTCTCACCTAGAACTCATAGATCTTAATAATTTGTGTGTCTTTTTGGGACGATATATAACGGATAAGCGTAAGGTATTTTTAAATTTCCCGCCACGGTACCCATAACGCAGCATACTGCAAGTGGCTGGCTTCTCCTCAATACAGACCGTGGGAAAATTTTTTTGCCCGTGTTTGACCCCTTGGGACGAAAAAATGAGCAAAATAGCGTGGCGCTGTTTAAATTTCCCGCTGCCGGGTCCAGTCTGCGAAGTTTAGCAGGTAGAAACGCATCGACACTTACGGGCAAAGAAACCTCAAATTTTCGTAGGTCGATGCGTTTCCACTGCTAATCTCGCAAACCGGACCCTTTGCAGCGGAAATTTAAACAGCGTCACGAATCGTGCTAATTGTTTCGTACCAAGGGGTCATAAAACGGGCAAAAAAATTTTCCCGAGGTCTGTATTGAGGAGAAGCCAACCACTTGCAGTGTGATGCATTTGGGTCCGCGTGATAACGTGTACTTAAGACAAAACTTGAGCCTTACAGGCTGATAACGGCTAATTTTTTCGCGATTTTGACCTCTACTGCAGAAAAGCCATATTCTCAGGGGACATTTAGCCGAAACAAACGAAACAGCACGCCACGTGAGAGAAGGGGACGCCACACGGGCTGGGAAAACTTAAATTGTGGTACAATTAACGCCATGGTCACTTGAACAAACCCATGAGTCAGACAAAACTTGAGCCTTATCAGGTGCTGATAAAGGCCTAAACTTTTTTTCGCCGATTTTGACCCTCTACTGCAGAAAAGCCACATCTTCTCAGGGGGACATTTTAGGCCGAAAACAAACGACACAGCACGCCAACGTGATGAGAAGTGGACGCCACACGGGCGGGAAACTTAAATTTTGTAACTTACGCCCTGGTGCACTTGACAACCCATGACGTCAACAAAACTGGAGCCTTTCAGGGTGATCAGGCTGATAAAGGCCTACACTTTTTTCGCCGATTTTGACCCTCTACTGCAGAAAAGCCAACTTCTCAGGGGACATTTTAGCCGAAACAAACGAACAGCACGCCAACGTGATGAGAAGTGACGCCACACGGCGGGAAACTTAAATTGTGGTACAATTACGCCCTGGTCACTTGACAACCCATGACGTCAGACAAAACTTGAGCCTTATCAGGGCTGATAAAGGCCTAAACTTTTTTTCGCCGATTTTGACCCTCTACTGCAGAAAAGCCAACTTCTCAGGGGACATTTTAGCCGAAACAACGAACAGCACGCCAACGTGATGAGAAGTGACGCCACACGGCGGGAAACTTAAATTGTGGTTCAATTACGCCCTGGTCACTTGACAACCCATGACGTCAGACAAAACTTGAGCCTTATCAGGGCTGATAAAGGCCTAAACTTTTTTCGCCGATTTTGACCCTCTACTGCAGAAAAGCCAACTTCTCAGGGGACATTTTAGCCGAAACAAACGAACAGCACGCCAACGTGATGAGAAGTGACGCCACACGGCGGGAAACTTAAATTGTGGTTCAGTTACGCCCTGGTCACTTGACAACCCATGACGTCAGACAAAACTTGAGCCTTATCAGGGCTGATAAAGGCCTAAACTTTTTTCGCCGATTTTGACCCTCTACTGCAGAAAAGCCAACTTCTCAGGGGACATTTTAGCCGAAACAAACGAACAGCACGCCAACGTGATGAGAAGTGACGCCACACGGCGGGAAACTTAAATTGTGGTACAATTACGCCCTGGTCACTTGACAACCCATGACGTCAGACAAAACTTGAGCCTTATCAGGGCTGATAAAGGCCTAAACTTTTTTCGCCGATTTTGACCCTCTACTGCAGAAAAGCCAACTTCTCAGGGGACATTTTAGCCGAAACAAACGAACAGCACGCCAACGTGATGAGAAGTGACGCCACACGGCGGGAAACTTAAATTGTGGTTCAATTACGCCCTGGTCACTTGACAACCCATGACGTCAGACAAAACTTGAGCCTTATCAGGGCTGATAAAGGCCTAAACTTTTTTCACCGATTTTGACCCTCTACTGCAGAAAAGCCAACTTCTCAGGGGACATTTTAGCCGAAACAAACGAACAGCACGCCAACGTGATGAGAAGTGACGCCACACGGCGGGAAACTTAAATTGTGGTACAATTACGCCCTGGTCACTTGACAACCATGACGTCAGACAAAACTGAGCCTTATCAGGGCTGATAAAGGCCTAAACTTTTTTTTCGCCGATTTTGACCCTCTACTGCAGAAAAGCCAACTTCTCAGGGGACATTTTAGCCGAAACAAACGAACAGCACGCCAACGTGATGAGAAGTGACGCCACACGGCGGGAAACTTAAATTGTGGTACAATTACGCCCTGGTCACTTGACAACCCATGACGTCAGACAAAACTTGAGCCTTATCAAGACTGATAAGGGCCTAAACTTTTTTCGCTGGTTTTGACCGCTAACTGCGGTGAAGCCAACTTCTCAGGGGACATTTTAGCCTTAAACAAACGAACAGCACGCCAACGTGACAAGTGTGACGTCAGGCAGCGGGAAAGTTAAATTGTGGTACGCTTACGCCCCCTTGACGTCTGATGGTGGGAAATAGAAGTTGCGGTACGCTTTTTCTAAATGCGAAAACATTTTCCCACGTTTTTATTGAAGAGAAGCCGACTACTTGCGGTGTCTTGTTTTGTGGGAGCGATGGCGGGAAATTTAAAAATGCATTACACTTATCTAGTATATATCGTACCAAGAAGCCGTACCAATTAGGAATGCAGTTAATTGCAATAAAGTGGAATACTTGGCCAGTTGGTACAACATGATGTAGAATTATATGAGCGCACAAGGTGGAAGCAAAAGCATTTGAAAGGAAAGACACTCGACTTACGACTAAAATTTTATTAAAAAACGCATTCATTGCACGAGAACACAAACGCGCAGGCACAACCAACTATCATTTCAAGGTGCCACCCCCCTCCCTCCCCCAAAAGAAAAGAATTTATACGTTTGTCTACTTCAACAGCTCAAAAAAAAAAGACACCTCTTTTTCAGTTATTGCTACCGAAGGACCGAAGGCATGTGTATCAGTGTTCCTTCGGTAGCAATAAGTGATAAAGATGTGTCTCTTTTGAGCTGTTGAAGTAGATAAACGTATACCTTCTTTTCTTTTGGGGGAGGAGGGGTGGCACATTGAAGTCTTCGTTGGTTGCGCCTGCGCGTTTGTGTTCTCATGCAATTAATGTTTTCTAATAAAATTTCAGTCGTACGTTGAGCATCTTTCTTTTCAGGTGCTTTTCCTTCCACCTTGTGCGCTCATATATTTCCACAGCAGTTAACTCCATCAACGAAAGGTATGGCGTCAGACAAAAGTTTGGGCTTTTCGGGGCTGATAAGGGCCTCGATTTTTGTTACTTGTTTTCAACGTGTGTTGTGGTGAATCCAACCCACCAGGGGAATTTTCAGTTCGGAAGCGGGTGTTTGTGGCTTCAAACACGCACTTTTTTGAACTCGCAATGCCAGAAACACCAGCAAACGGGGCTCATGGAGGTTCGTTTATTTAAAGGTACTATGCTTATTATCACATACAATACATACGCCGAGACTATGAGAGTACATGTCGTATATTCATTGCACTAAGGTGCCGTACAACGGATAAAAACCAGCAGAACTTGGAGGTCGTTTAGGTGGGGTTATATATAACCGATAGCAAGTACATCTTTTTTTTTACAGCCAAGCCTACAGTGTTTTAGTGGTTTTTAACGCTCACAGTGAAATGAGCTGAGGGGGCGGCTGTGATACGGGGGAAACTGCTACTCCAGTGGCTGCGCCCCCGATTGGTAGCAGCCAGTAACGAAAGGTGGCCAAACTTACCTTTCTAAAAGCTTCCCCGAGAATTCCAATAAATTAGACAAATTCTGGGACATACCAGCCGAAGAAACGTTACTTCCAGCACCTTATTTGCTTGTCAGCTGCTGTCTACACCATTAACTTACCTTAATGAACTTTATTCAAACCTTTCGGGATACCAGGACCTCCTTCCACTTTACTCTCGAACCAAACTCGCTCAGTTCGGCAATGATCCAAGCAGGTATGGAAGAGCTGTGTACATCAAATGTTGCCTACGAAAGTGGAAATTCAGGCATGCCCAGTCCCAGAAGGCAGATGCTGTTTCGCTGCTTTACAAGTGGCCATTGTGGCACACCAGGCAGCAATAATAATGCCTATTCTGACACAGCAGAGCTGTATATTCAAAGTAGAGAGATCGCATCAGTAACTTCAGTTGTGGACTAGCCCACTGAACATAAAAATCTGACATTTCACAGTTAAAACTTGAAGCAACAAGTTGAAGCCAATTGGCCATTCCGCCTTAGCGACTGCATAGGACAAGCAACTAGGTTGTTTTTGGAAATGATCCTGGCAGTGTCTCATGTTGAATATTGATCTTTTAGACCCTCCATTTTTCGAACTTTTGTCTGCATGTCAATTTTGTTAATGTATCATTGCATGTTGGCGATGTATCATTCCTAACAAAGTATTTTATGAATGAAATTTATAAAAGGCCACACTCTCTGCCACCATAGCGAGCATGGCAAGCCCGATTGTTCAGAAAAGTGCTCTGCGAGTTGAACACCAAAGAACACTAATTAAAAAATAACATAGAATGCACATTTTATTTGAACAAGTCTCAGCAACAACAATTTATTTTTGGAACAGCAACAATGCAAACCATCACGACAGCGGAAGCCCTTTAAGCAATTAGTTCGGAAGCTGTAGCAATGGTCTGGAGACAACTATGGTAGCTCAACGGGCATTCACACTTCACTGGGGAAAGACTACATATGGTAGCACTATGCATTAGAATAGACAAAATATTTGCGTACTGATGCATACTCTCAATCGAATAAACCTTGTAGCGACAATAAGTGTTACTCAAAGGAATATGAAAACTAGAAGGGTAGATGCCTAAAAGCACTTCATAGATCTGGAGCAATACTAGAAAGGAACAATGTACAGCAGCACCCGTGCAGAGCAGCATACAAAAGGCTATTTGTCACAAACACTTCTAAGCATTTATTTTGATTGAACAATATCACACTAATAATGGCTTCAAATTAATCTCTGCACCATACTAGACTAACTGACACAACTTCAGAAGACAACGAAATTTCCTCTATAAAGGCAGATACACCCGAGCCTGCACCATTGTGCATGCACTCCAGGCTGACGACGGGTGAATGGCCGGCGACCTCACCAAATGGAGAACATTGCCCAGTGCTTGCACAGGACTAGATTTCATTAGTTAGAAGGCTAAGTCGGGAGGCATGTACGATTCTCCGATGTGCAACTTATCAGCATTTTAGAACATCATGACCGAAATGTCTTCACTAAGAGCGAAAAACCCTGCTTTGCTGTCACACTGTAATCATTGACCCCTGACCTTGTATAGCGGGAACAGACTAAATAAAAAGGTAAACATTACGAGTTAAACACGTTCAAACAGTCTCCCATTGCACTGCAAGTTTTTTCCATGATTATGGCCTGCGCCCACACTGCCGTGCAGTCGCACTGTGCTCTTTTTTACATGAACATGTAAAAGCACCTTTGTGCTTTTACATGTTCATTGACAAGACCAAAGCATGCAATGTTGATTGCCAAGATGTAAAACATATACCAGCAGAAACATTAGGGAAAGGTGCAATGGGTACTTGGATGAAGACGCGAATTGCAAGCACGTGTCTAAAACACTATAGCTCGCACCCAACGACTGGTGATGCTTCAGCTGAAATACTTATTGGTACAGAGGGCTTGCTGAAAGCACCCACACAATAACACCAAGACCGAATCAAAGGAGCACCGAGTTGAGCGGTGTATGACTGAACTGAAACAGTGTTGCCCAAGAGATGCTAAACGCACGTGCACACCAAGAATGTAGGCTCTTTGTCATACAGAGGGATGAATCTGTACCAAGTTGGCCAGCTTTTTATTCAGTTTGATGCAAACCAGCATCAATATGCCGCTACATTGCACAATGCGAACGGATGCCTCTATCATGACTTAAAACATGCACATGGGTCTGCCGATCACACTCCAGTTGCATATGGTCATGAAATATGCGAGCGGAATGGTGAAAAATTGTACAAAATTTTAAGCTTGTGCGATTAAATTCACAATATTGGTCTACAATTGACACAGCTGCTAAAACACTAGATTCACTGTATGGCCAATGGAAAGCGTACCATTTTGAGGCACAATAGATCATGTAAGTCCTGTGACTATCCTTGAAACAGCTGTTTTTAATAATAGGTTGTAGATCAACGTCGTGAAGATGTTGCACAGCCGTTTAAGGGCAGCTAGTAGCCCACGGTGGTTCCAGAGATCACGGGCATGTCTCACGGAGGCAACACCCACACTTCATCTGTTGGTGGTCACAGTAGAGTGATGACAAACAGCAACGTTGACTGGAGTCCTCACATGGAGTGAAGACTGAAGGGCAGACCACAGCAATGGATTTTCCTGTACGATGCATTCACCAGAAGGCAAGCTAGAGGCAAAAACCAGGAGGTGAACCCTTCATGCCGCAGACACGCCATGGCCACAGGACAGGAGTAACTCGAGGATTACCATGCCCATCCAAGAGGCACAGGCCGGATGAGGAAAGCCATGCGGGTTTGGACGTAGCATCCAGTAGATGGGATCGATGGCCGAGAAGCTATAAGAACACAACGATTCCATGATTAGATACACAGGGTATGTATGCTTAGTAATGAAAGTTCGCGGTTGGACACAATGTTTGACAAGGCCAAAAAATAGCTTGGCCTAGAAAAGAACGATAGATTGGGATTTCTTTTATTCTTAATTGGTAGAACATTTTAAGCAATATTCAAAGGTTGCGGCTTTTAACTGCACGGAGGAGGCAGATTTTTGGTCACTCCTAATTCACATCATAATTACTGCACTACAGTTAAAGACTACATCCCCTATGCTTTACTTCGTATTACTGATTTATTTGTCAGTGCTTAACAAAGAGACAAGCCTCTAAAAAAAACGCCAGGCCCTGCGCTGTAAGCGCAGCACAGTCACAGCGAAAGTTAGAAAGAGCGGCCTTTCAGAGCTTTTTCAAAGCACTCATTGGGTAACTGTTGGGATGTCAGCTGCCGCCAAGAGCGCATGCGTGAATGTCAGTGACATGACGTCACACTAGAGTTGCCTATATAACTAACTCAATAAACCTGTGTTCATTCTTGTTTCACCATCCGTTACTTCAGTGGCGACGAGGCGATTAACCCCCATGCATGGCCAGGGAACGGCATCGCGACGCGTGCTGGACCACCTATTTTTGACGAAGGGGACGACAAGTGGAAAGCATATCAGGTGCGAATAGAAGCTTTCATTCGAAGCCCATGAAATTGTCTATCCTAAGAAGCGTCGGGCCCTCCTGGTTAGCGCCCTGAGTACCAAGACTCTAGACCTTATGGCAGGCCGTTGGGCACCTGAAAAGATTCTGGATCTGACGTACGAAGCCGCAGTTAAAAAAATTGGCCGAGTACTTTGCGCCGAAAGGCAACGAAATAGCGGAGTCGTTTCGGTTTTTCTTAAGAAATCAGGAAGCTGACGAGTCAACGAGTGATTTCATTGTCGAGTTACGAAAGATGGCTCAACGGTGCAATTTTGGCCAGGCGCTGGATAGAATGCTGCTCAAAAGGTTTGTTTTCGGCCTGTGCGATACTGGAGTTGGTCGTAATCTGCACGAGTTCGTCGGATCATTCAAAACGCAACAAAACATCAAAAAGTCGTAAAATTGAAGCTTTATGAACGCTATAAAGTCTTTATTTTGTCTCGAAATGGCCCTAAACATGAACTATCAGCATTAAACACAACCTCGAAAAACTGAGAATTTCCAAAGGCATTTTTCTCAAAATGATGCCGAAATACAATTATTCAGAACGCGACAGAACCTCGAAAAATTGGGAAATAGAAGCTATCTGAAGGCTATAATGTCACCTTTTTGTGTCAAAATGGCCCTAAAAATGAATCATCAGCATTCAGCGCAACGTCGAAAAATTGAAAATTTGCAAAGGCAAGATTTTTGGCTCTAAAAATGAATTATCAGCATTCAACGCAACGTCTAAAAATTGAAAATTTGCAAAGGCTATTGTCTTGGCATTTTTCTCAAAATGATGCCGAAATAGACTGAACATCGAAAAATTGGGAAATAGAAGCTATCTGAAGGACATAATGTCGCCTTTTTGTGTCGAAATGGCCCTAAAATGAATTATCAGCATTCAACGCAACGTCGAAAAATTGAAAATTTGCAAAGGCAAATTTGCAAAGGTCTTGAGATTTTTTCTCAAATGATGCCGAAATCGGATTATTCAAAACGCAACAAAACATCAAAAAGTCGTAAAATTGAAGCTTTATGAACGCTATAAAGTCTTTATTTTGTCTCGAAATGGCCCTAAACATGAACTATCAGCATTAAACGCAACCTCGAAAAACTGAGAATTTCCAAAGGCTATAGTCTTGGCAATTTTCTCAAAATGATGCCGAAATAGAATTATTAAGAAGGCGACATAACCTCGAAAAATTGGGAAATAGAAGCTATGTGAAGGCTATAATGTCGCCTTTTTGTGTCGAAATGGCCCTAAAAATGAATTATCAGCATTCAACACAATGTCGAAAAATTAAAAATTTGCAAAGGCAATTTGCAAAGGCCCTGGGATTTTTTCTCAAAATGATGCCGAAATCGGATTATTCAAAACGCAACAAAACATCAAAAAGTCGTAAAATTGAAGTTTATGAATGCTATAAAGTCTTTATTTTGCCTCGAAATCGCCCTAAACATGAACTTTCAGCAGTAAACGCATCCTCGAAAAACTGAGAATTTCCAAAGGCTATAGTCATGGCATTTATCTCAAAATGATGCCAAAATAGAATTATTAGGAAGGCGACAGTACCTCGAAAAATTGGGAAATAGAAAATATCTGAAGGCTATAATGTCGCCTTTTTGTGTCGAAATGGCCCTAAAAATAAATTATCAGCATTCAACGCAACGTCGAAAAATTGAAAATTTGCAATAGCTATAGTCCTGGGTTTTTATTCTCAAATTGATGCCAATATCAGACTATTCAAAACGCAACAAAACATCAGAAAGTCGTAAAAGTGAAGTTTTATGAACGCTCTAAAGTCTGTATTGTGTGTCGAAATGGCCCTTAACATGAACTATCAGCATTAAACGCAACCTCGAAAAATTGAGAATTTCCAAGGGCTATAGTCTTGGCATTTTTCTCAGAATGATGCCGAAATAGAATTATTAAAAAGGCGACAGAACCTCGAAAAATTGGAGAATAGAAGCTATCTGAAGGCTATAATGTCGCCTTTTTGTGTCGAAATGGCCTAAAAATGAATTATCAGCATTCAACGCAACGTCGAAAAAATAAAAATTTGCAAAGGCCATAGTCCTTGGATTTTTTCTCAAATTGATGCCTAAATCGGATTATTCAAAACGCAACAAAACATCAAAAAGTCGTAAAATTGAAGCTTTATGAACGCTATAAAGTCTTTATTTTGTCTCGAAATGGCCCTAACATGAACTATCAGCATTAAACGCAACCTCGAAAAACTGAGAATTTCCAAAGGCTTGGCATTTTTCTTGGCATTTTTCTCAAAATGATGCCGAAATAGAATTATTCAGAACACGACAGAATATCGAAAAATTGGAAAATAGAAGCTATCTGAAGGACATAATGTCGCCTTTTTGTGTCGAAATGGCCCTAAAATGAATTATCAGCATTCAACGCAACGTCGAAAAATTGAAAATTTGCAAAGGCTATAGTCTTGGGATTTTTCTCAAAATGATGCCGAAATCAAATTATTCAAAACGCAATAAAACATCAAAAAGTCATAAACTTGAAGCTTTATGAACGCTTTAAAGTCTTTGTCTCGAAATGGCCCTAAACATGAACTATCAGCATTAAACGCAACCTCGAAAAACTGAGAATTTCCAAAGGCTATAGACTTGGCATTTTTCTCAAAATGATGCCGAAATAGAATTATTAAGAAGGCGACAGTACCTCAAAAAATTGGGAAATAGAAGCTATCTGAAGGCTATATTTGTCGCCCTTTTGTCTCGAAATGACCCTAAACATGAACTATCAGCAATAAACGCAACCTAGAAAAACTGAGAATTTCTGAAGGCATTTTTGGAAATAGAAGCTATATGAAGGCTATAATGTCGCCTTTTTGTGTCGAAATGGCCCTAAAATTGAATTGTCAGCATTCAACGCAACGTCGAAAAATTGAAAATTTGCAAAGGCTATAGTCCTGGGATTTTTTCTCAAAATGATGCCGAAATCGGATTATTCAAAACGCAAGAAAACATCAGAAAGTCGTAAAATTGAAGCTTTATGAACGCTATAAAGTCTTTATTTTGTCTCGAAATGGCCCTAAACATGAACTATCAGCATTAAACGCAACCTCGAAAAACTGAGAATTTCCAAAGGCTATAGTCTTGGCTCAGCATTCAGCGCAACGTCGAAAAATTGAAAATTTGCAAAGGCTATAGTCTTGGAATTTTTTCTCAAAATGATGCCGAAATCGGATTATTCAAAACGCAACAAAACATCAAAACGTCGTAAAATTGAAGCTTTATGAACGCTTGAAGCTTTATTTTGTCTCGAAATGGCCCTAAACATGAACTATCAGCACTAAACGCAACCTCGAGAAACTGAGAATTTCCAAAGGCCTTGGCATTTTTCTCAAAATGGTGCCGGAATAGACTTATTCAGAACGCGACAGAACATCGAAAAATTGGAAAATAGAAGCTTTTCGAAGGTTTTAATGTCGCCAATGTTTCTCAGAATGGCCTTAAGGATGAATTATCAGCATTAGATGCAACTCTGAAAAATTAAACTTTTTCAAAGACTATAGGCTTGCGATTATTTTTCAAACTGTCTGCGCCATCGTTCGGACGCAAAACGTCGAATTAATTATTGAAGAATTGGCTGCATAATGTACACACCAACATTTATACCATCTTATCAGACCGTGGCAGAATAGCCGAGTCGGTAAGGTGTTAAGCTGCCAACCGAAAAGTAGCTGGTTCAAATCCCGGTGCGGATAGCATTGAAAGAAAAAAAACAAGGTTATGACAATGTGGGCGCCCTTGTCTGTTGTTTATTTTTATAATTGACCTGCATTATATTTAGTAGAGGAAGTTCTAAATTGGGTATCCTGTGTCGAGGCAATAGCCGAGTGCGTATGGTGTTCAGTTCACAACCAAAAAGGTCGATGGTTCGAATCGCAGAGTGGCGAGTTCAGAATACCAGGAAGTCATTGAAAAAAAACCTGAAATGCACATACGGTCACATTCTAGAAGGGTGACAAAAGAGCTACGAAGAAGGTTGAACCTATGGCGTAAAATTACAACGTTCAATTACCCTAATAATCTTATTTTTAAAGAAATCAGCTTTTTTTTTCAAAAAAGGGGGAGCGATCTACGGCGGCTTTGGACCCGAAGGCCCAAGGGTACCCCATAGCCGCCATGTAGCTCAAGCGTCCCCCCCGAGCGACATAAGCCTCGCCGTGCCGTAGCACAACTGCGAGGAGCACTCGTACCTTTAACCCGGGAGGTATCGGGCGAGGGGTGTACCACTTAAGAAGTGAGCCAATCTCCGGGTACAACTCCCCTCTGCCTTTGAATCCGGTGGCTTC